AACAAGTAGCTGAGGCAAACACAATAAAGGAGTGAACCACTCTATAAAATGAACGAACGAAAGGAAGGATGGGAGAAGGGAAGAGGAAGGATGGAGAAGGGAAGAAAGGAAGGGGGGAGATGGGGAGAAAGGAAGGATGGAGAAGGAAAGAAAGGAAGGATGGAGATGGGGAGAAAGGAAGGGTGGAGAAGGGAAGGAAGGAAGGATGGAGAAGAGAAGATATGAAGGATGTAGAAGGGAAGGAAGGAAAGATGGAGAAGGGAAGAAAGGAAGGATGGAGAAGGGAAGGAAGGAAGGAGATTGGAAGGAAGGAAGGATGGAGATGGGAAGGAAGGAAGGAAGGAGAAGGGAAGAAAGGAGGTTGGAGATGGGAGAAAGGAAGGAAGGAGAAGAGAAGGAAGGAAGGAGAAGAGAAGATAGGAAGGATGGAGATGGGGAGACAGGAAGGTTTGAGAAGGGAAGGAAGAAAGGATGGAGAAGGGAAGAAATGAAGGATGGAGAAGGGAAGGAAGGAAGGATGGAGAAGAGAAGAAAGGAAGGATGGAGAAGGGAAGAAAGGAAGGATGGAGAAGGGAAGAAATGAAGGATGGAGAAGGGAAGAAATGAAGGATGGAGAAGGGAAGAAATGAAGGATGGAGAAGGGATAAAATGAATGATGGAGAAGGGAAGGAAGAAAGGATGGAGATGGGGAGACAGGAAGGATGGAGAAGGGAAGAAATGAATGATGGAGAAGGGAAGGAAGAAAGGATGGAGATGGGGAGACAGGAAGGATGGAGAAGGGAAGGAAGGAATGATGGAGATGGGGAGAAAGGAAGGATGGAGAAGGGAAGGAAGGAAGGATGAGAAGGGGGAAATGAAGGATGGAGAAGGGAAGGAAGGAATGATGGAGATGGGGAGAAAGGAAGGATGGAGAAGGGAAGAAATGAAGGATGGAGAGGGGAAGAAATGAAGGATGGAGAAGGGAAGAAATGAAGGATGAGAAGGGAAGGAAGAAAGGATGGAGATGGTGAGACAGGAAGGATGGAGAAGGGAAGGAAGGAATGATGGAGATGGGGAGAAAGGAAGGATGGAGAAGGGAAGGAAGGAAGGATGGAGAAGAGAAGAAATGAAGGATGGAGAAGGGAAGGAAGGAATGATGGAGATGGGGATAAAGGAATGATGGAGAAGGGAAGGAAGGAATGATGGAGAAGAGAAGAAATGAAGGATGGAGAAGGGAAGAAATGAAGGATGGAGAAGTTAAGAAATGAAGGATGGAGAAGGGAAGAAATGAAGGATGGAGAAGGGAAGGAAGAAAGGATGGAGATAGGGAGACAGGAAGGATGGAGAAGGGAAGGAAGGAATTATGGAGATGTGGAGAAAGGAAGGATGGAGAAGGGAAGGAAGGATGGAGAAGAGAAGAAATGAAGGATGGAGAAGGGAAGAAAGGACGGTTGGAGATGGGAGAAAGGAAGGAAGGAGAAGAGCAGATAGGAAGGATGGAGATGGGGAGACAGGAAGGTTTGAGAAGGGAAGGAAGAAAGGATGGAGAAGGGAAGAAATGAAGGATGGAGAAGAGAAGAAATGAAGGATGGAGAAGGGAAGAAATAAAGGATGCAAAAGGAAAGGAAGGAAGGATGGAGATGGGGAGAAAGGGCGGATGGAGAAGGAAGGAAGGACGGATGCAGAAAGGAAAAAAAGAAGGATGATGGAATGGTAGGTAGGTGGATGGATGGAAACAAGAAGGATGGATAGATGGAAGGGTGGACAGATTGAAGGACAGATTGATAGAAGGGTGTACTGAGGGATGTATATATGGATTGACAGATTGATAGAAGGGTGTATCGACGGATGTATGGATGGATGGACAGATTGATAGAAGGGTGTACTGAGGGATGTCTGGATGGATGGACAGATTGATAGAAGGGTGTACTGAGGGATGTCTGGATGGATGGACAGATTGATAGAAGGGTGTACTGAGGGATGTATGGATGGATGGACAGATTGATAGAAGGGTGTACTGAGGGATGTATGGATGGATGGACAGATTGATAGAAGGGTGTACTGAGGGATGTATGGATGGATGGACAGATTGATAGAAGGGTGTACTGAGGGATGTATGGATGGATGGACAGATTGATAGAAGGGTGTACTGAGGGATGTCTGGATGGATGGACAGATTGATAGAAGGGTGTACTGAGGGATGTATGGATGGATGGACAGATTGATAGAAGGGTGTACTGAGGGATGTATGGATGGATGGACAGATTGATAGAAGGGTGTACTGAGGGATGTATTTGTGGATGGATAGATTGATAGAAGGATTAAAGAGGGATGTATGGATGGATGGAAAGATTGATAGAAGGGTGTACTGATGGATGTATGACACACGGAACGAAGGTGATATACTCCATTTCCCATTTTTGACACAAAGATGCATACCATAAAACAAACTTGAAGTAAAGTATATTTAAAGAAAATGAAAGATAAATAGACCTTTCGTCTCTTTCAGGGGACAAACAATTAACAAAACTGCATATAGCGTTGTAAGGAAGTCTGTCTCACAGTCTCTGAACTATATTATTTTCTCTTATGCCCACCCCTTACTGTAATGCTATAGTCCTAAATGAAGCAAGTCTAGACTTTCCGCAGGTTCTAAATCTCCGTCTCACTGGGCTCCTATTCCATTTAATTGCCGTTTGTTTCTATCAAAATTATATATTTTCAGAGACTAAGCGTTAGTCTATGTTAGGCTGTGTGTTGCGTTCATACGCACCTGTCACGGATACGTACCTCTCGAGTCGGTCATCTACCTCAACGCCATATTTGTGCTATCAGATCCGGCCATCGGACATTCGCAACTGTATGCATTTTATTCGCCTTTATCTGACCATTACGTCACGCATGTGGCCGGCGTACACACTATCTACACCGGTCAGCGTAACGTGTGACAACTACACACATGTGATGACGTCGTCCGTCTTTATTGAGCAGCCATGCGAGGCTATGGAATGTTACCGTCTTCTCGAAGATGGACTCTGGAAATGGCTCTGATTTAAGCACTACTAATCATTATCAGCAATGTACTAATACTGTGTAAGCATAATCAACTAGATTCTGGGGAGACGCAGTAACAATTTGAAATATTTATGAATCACTTTCGGGTAACATCAGTGTTGATTTAACGATGTTTTACCTCAATAGGGTAATGAGACATACAGTAAGTGAGTGAGTGAGTTAGGTTTAACGCCGCTTGTAACAGTATTCCAGTTATATCACGGCGTGTCAGCTTAATGTGGGAAGAAAGCCCGAAGTGATGCAGGTCTCAGACGTTTACCACTTCGGTGAAACCCACGAGCACGGGAAACCTAGAAACATAATCGGGGCGAATCGGGATTCGAACCCACAATCATAGGTTTCTGGCGTGCCCAAGGGACGCAACTCTGCACAGCGAATTGCGGCGCCTTTGACGACTGGGCCACCCGTACCTCCGAGATATATAGAGGTTTACTACAATCCTCCGTGTGTTGGATTATTAAGTATGAACACAAGATATATCATGTCAAATATTTAACATAAAATGCCGGGACAAAGAAAGTATACATTTGAAATTTGGATTTTTCCTAAAAATTACAAACGTTACTATTAGCCGAAACACTGCAAATTTGAGCCCAAAACACAACGATACCCATATCAAATACATGACCACTGAATAACCATTTCTTGTTAGTTTCATTTCCAGGCACCTTCAAACGCGGTGTATACTTTCATGTTGAACATCAAAACATCAATATATAAGTCATTCTATTTTTTAAAATCCAGTATTCTTATTTTTGTATGATGTAAAACTAGATCACTAGATTAAAGGTAATATCCAGGGCATTAAGCTGCTCGCTGAACCATTAACTTTGTTGTTTTAGACCAGAGTGGTTTGGGCAAGTAGTACTAGCTTACAAATGACACGTTCAAGAAATCAAAATATTTGTCATCAAAATGTATACGTTCAAAGGGAAATACGCTATCGTAAGATGTCTAACATATGACTTTTTAGTTTATCTTGTCATGACTAGCATGCATCAATCTAATGTGAATGAATGTAATTTGTGACTGAATGACTGAATATGTTTGATCATTTATTTCGCTCAAGGGAACGCATGAGTTATGAAATTTAAAGTAAACTATATTGAACTTATTCCTCGGCGCATTTCCCCCCTATAGTATACATTTCTACTACTATATCTATGTGGACAGAAGTAGAGGGATTTAAATGTTAAACACGTTTAGCCAGCTTGCAGCCTGGGAAAATGTTTTGCATCCCTCTGTTCATCCATTGATGAATTAGGGTACCTACTTCCAATGATGGTTGTATCTCGCTGAGGTGAAATTTGGGTTTATGTCGAATTCACAATTGCACTTATATAGCAACGTGCAAGCTCACTGAGATACTATGCCGCAGTTTAACATGAATGCCCTACTCAGACACGGTTTTCTGACTCCGAGCCGAACAGTCCTTGTTTTATCCCCTTAATTCCGAGCGTCAGACAGGGTAACAACAATTACCGCCTTTTAACGTCATTTGGTATGACGCGGCTGGGGATCGAACCCCGGACCTTCCGATCTCCGGGCACACGCTCTGTCGATTTGACCTCGGAGGCGGTCGAATGTTAGAGAGAATCTAGAATCAAGTTCATATCTTTATAATGTGCATTTGATCGAAGTAACGAAATGCCCCAATGATTTGTTGAAACACTGTTCCAAGTCTTGTACATCTTTCATTCACGATACAAACGCTGTCCATCGTGGAATTTCATTTACCAAGTCAGCCATAGTGAAGTAGGGCGCGAGTACCCCATCACCACATTAGGTAGAAGAGATACTACACCGTTATTCCGTCACCAACCCTTTGTGCGTGACGAGACCCACCATAAAGAGATTTTACTGTCAAACTATCGCAGATGGGCAGGCACATTCCACGCAGAGCCCGGGGCAACGTAATCTGGAGTCGCAGTCATTCTCGTCACAGGCGTTGAGATGAGACGTTGAGCCTATCGGCAGCCGGTTGCTCTTGGTGAATATTTTGAGTGATGATCAGCTGTTGCGGGACCTCTTGTTGAGGTAGGGTTTGGTGATTGTTTAATTAATGACATCTGACGTCGTCTGCTGTCTCTAAGCTGGTGCAGGAAAAACGAGAGGCACGTCTGCCGGAGTGATCAACTGTCGGCGGTAGACGGAAGGAGGATACGGTGTTATTCCGATGCGGACAACTTTAAATTTACAGCTTGCGTGCACATGAACCAAAGATTGCAGTTGAAATTCATTGGAGAGTTATTTCAGTGATTTTATTGACCACTGAAGAAAAAACATAGAATCAGTTCAACATTATCGTCTGCTCATAGGATCGTCTGCAGGTGTGGTCGTCTGCCACAGACCGAAAGGTACACCTACAACATTGTACTGATATATATTGAGCTCTGTTAGGAAGACAAGTTGTCCTGACTTGATGTGAACCTTCGTTAATACGAAAGTGATGTAACCACATATTTCAAGCTGTGTGTGTACTTCATCCAGAACCTTTTTGGGATCACTTCATATTGTCGGAACTTATTCCGGAACGTGACAGGCAGCAGTCGAAGTTCGTAGCTCGTCATCAGTGCGTGCCCCTCAGTGACCCTGTGTGGAGTTTGTGAGACTGCGTATTCATACACAAGGATATCATCTTCCGCGGCATGGATATTGAAAGAAGATAAGTCGACAGCAGCAACGTCAGGGATGGCAGAGTCACCATCGTGGGTGAAACAGTTCGACGCTAGCCAGCGTCCAAGATCTAATTCCGTGCAACCAGGGACCTCTGCTTTCTGGGATGCCGATCGGAACGCGGTGAGTACTCCACGCCTTTCATAGTATATGTCATGATAAAGATTCGATGTCACTAATGTTTGTTTAAATATATCTTTCTTTCTTTTTGTAATGATACGCCCTGGTGCATTTATAATTAATCGTGTGTATATCCGTCAATGCCATGATGTCTCATAATAGGTGTTCAACATTTCCAAAGAGCTAACTGCAACTTTAAAACATGTTCCCCCTTTCTGAGTAAAATCAGGAAAATCTGAAATGTTTTAGAGATGTAAAACAATCTATTCCGAAAGAAAGAGACTAATTTCTGAAGATAAACTAGGCAAAGAATTCGTGACCACACTTTTTAATAATCATAATAATGATGATGATGATGATGATGATGATGTTTACATTTATAATGCTCCAAATCCACACCGGAAAGTATGATCAAAGGGCTACAAAACCACGCCGGTCTTAAGATCAGTGTGCAATCGAATTTCAATCTCATCTCCCTGGGTATAATTCAACCCAAGCTGCCTTGTGAGGCGCGAGAAGGTTATCAATGACATTTCCGTCTCATCCTACCGGGTACCCAGTCACTGCTTAACAGTGGCATGTTTCGAACAAAGTCACTTTCCTAAGGTGATATCACATGTAACATGAGCTGGAAGTGAAGCGGTAAACGTCTGAGACCTGCATCACTTGGGGCTTTCCTCCCACATTCAGCTGACACGCCGCCATATGAATGGAATACTGTTAAAAGCGATGATAACCCCAACTCACTCACTCACTAATATATCAGTTTCAGACATAGTACTTTCGCTGTCTCATGACAGCTCTTCAGTGTAATATATATATGTTTCACCAGCACATTTTCGACTTTCATCCAAGAAACATCTATGATGACACTATATATCAGGAGCGAAACTACCATTGTAGCAGAAAAGCAATTGCTTAAGCTTAGAAAAAAGCATAACTGAACGTGATTTATTGTCTTACTTTAGGATTTTAGTGGTAGATGGTTCGTTGCGTAAGCAATCCGCGCTCTCACAATTGTTTTCATTATAATGATAGGTTGGCTCGCGTTAAAATATGAAAATATTAATAATCATCACATACTACGAATGAACATGTAAAAACACATAGAAGTGATGTTATCGATTCGTTTTAATGTTCAAATTTTATTTGACATCATAGATGTTTCTTAAATTGAAAGTCGAAAATGTGCTGGTGAAACATATTTATTACACTGAAGAGCTGTCATGAGACAGCGAAAGTACTATGTCTGAAACTGATATAAAGACGATGATGGACTAACGTGGACTTTATTATTTTATTATATATTACATGTACACATATATATTATAATAATAATAAAATATAATAAATAAATTACTAATATTTGTTACAAATAAAACATAGACTGTCCCAAAATGCTTAAATGTGTTTAAGAGTATTTAATTTTTAGACATTTCTGGAGGGCATGCCTCCAAACCCGGTCGCTTCGCGCACTCATAACATTGATTTTGCTTACTATAATTAGCCTAGTTGCGCCCGTTATTGGCTGATCGAATGCAGGCATTACCTGTACATAGAATCCTCTTTAATCTGTCATACAGACCCTCAAACAAATATATCCAATATAGCCAATGAAAGTCTATAATGTTTGGATTACTGCAGTACCTGAAAATGAAGAAAGTCTCTGGGCTCATTTTTATTATATTTCATAACTATAATTTAAGAACGGTTTTTCGGTAAAATAAATTCATTTCAGAGACTAGATGTTAGTCGAACTCCTCTGCAGGGAATGCTACGTCACGTTTATTGCTACTGATGCATGTATCGCTGTTGTGAGCTTGTGGACATCGGGACTGCATAGGGAAGATGAAAATTGGAGGCTACCGAAACAGCATTTTAAGCAGGATTATTTTAAAAACAAAAACGATCAAATACCCAATGTGAATGATCACATGTGAATAAATACCCAATGGCTGCTAAAAAAATTATCTGAAGCCCTGACATTTACTAATCTGGGGTACAAATTATTTAACCTACCCCCCCCCCCCCCCCCCCAAAAAAAAAAAAAAAAAACCACCAAAAACAAAACAAAAAAAACCCAACAACAACAAAAATGTGAACCCCCCTCCAAAAAAAGCTATCAATTATTGCCTTGATACCTACCAAAGGTCAAAGGGTACATATTAACGACGGGTGTATTTAACATTCCACATGGTAAACGTGTGCTCAAGTCACTGTATTGTTCGACCCGTGAACATCCGGGGTAGAATAGGACTTCAGCAACCCATGCTTGTCCTAAAAGGCGACTATGCTTGTCGTAAGAGGCGACTAACGGGATCTGGTAGTCAGGCTCGCTGACTTGGTTGATGCATGTCATCGTATCCCAATTGCGTGGATCGATGCTCATGATGTCAATCACTGGATTGTCTGGTCCAGTCTCGATTATTGACAGACCGCCGTCATATAGCTGGAATATTGCTATTGTGCGGCGTTAAACAACAAACAAACAAACACTGTTCAGTCAAACCACGCACTGAGGGGGAAAGTTACGTGCGATTGATCGAAGAAAGACCTCATTTCCCCCGATAGTCCGATACAGCATCAAATACGAAACATTTAGATAATTTACTAGTTACCGCCATCCTGCTTGGTACAAACTCCTTGTCAGTTTTATTACATCGAATCTGACGTATCAGATTAATCGTACTTCCCTGCCTAGTGACAGAAGTCTTCTCTGCGTGATGTATGACCTCGTGTTGGCTTTGTGTGTTGTGACTTCATCGATGTTAATTCTATTTTATCTGTATAAAATGAAATTAAAAAAATGAGATTGATCCCCAGTGGGCATTTTCACGTGGTATGACGTATCATGGCGTATTTCAAGCGCACTTAATTGCTTTCTGGGACAAATTGCGACACACCCATTTATCGTGTTCCTATATTATCTTTATGTGGGGCGGTTGGGTAGCCTAGTGGTTAAAGCGTTCGCTCGTCACGCCGAAGACCCGGGTTCGATTCTATACATGGGTAAAATGTGCACCCGTCGTGTTCATTCGTCACCACTCGCCCCTTTCCGTAACCTGCATTCGGCTTGTCCCGGAATAACACGAGTTGGTCACGAATGCCGTCGTGATATTGCAGGGAAATTGCTAAAAGCGGCGTAAAACCATACTGACTTACATTTTGTGCTTGAAATGGCCTGTGGTTAGTTTTGGTCGCTTCCATTGTCTTGTTTATCATGTGACATGTGAATGTATGAGTACCCCAAGGCTTTAAGGGCGGTCGGGTAGCCTTGTGGTTAAAGCGTTCGCTCATCACGTCGAAGACCCGGGTTCGATTCCCGACATGAGTACAATGTGTGAGGCCCATTTCTGGTGTCCCACGCCGTGATATTGCTTGAATATTGCTAAAAGCGGCGTAAAATTAAACTCACTCACTCACTCAAGACTATTTCTAAAACATGAACTAACTGTTCAACAGATGTAATAATTATTCCTGCGTTCCTAAGCCTCGCTAGCCAAACTACAAAATATAGCCATGAAGGGACCTCTTTCATTTTCAATAACACAATAAGAGCTGTGTGAAATACAGTTAAATGTATGAGTGAGAGAGTTTGGTTTAACAGTATTCTAGTTATATCACGGCGTGTCAGCTTAATGTGGGAGGAAAGCCCGAAGTGATGCAGGTCTCAGACGTTTACCACTTCGGTGAAACCCACGAGCACGGGTATGGTGCTGACAAACCTAGAAATGTAATTGGGGCGAACCGGGATTCGAACCAACAATCATAGATTTCTGGCGTGCCCAAGGGATGCAACTCTGCACAGCGAATCGCGGCGCCTTAGACGACTTGGCCACCCGTGCCCCCGTTAAATGTACGAAATTACAGGATGAAATATGACTAATCTGAGACGCGCGTCGTGCGTCGTGCGTGTGTGTTTGTACTAGTTCGGAAAAATGTCGGTTTTACAGTGCAAGCCCACTGAGACACCATGCCGCAGTTTAACTTGGATACCCAACTCAGAAGCGGTATACTGACCCCGAGATGATGAGTCCTTGTTTAAAAAAAACCAATGCCGGGCAGGGTAACAACAAGTAGCACCTTTAAGGTGATCTCTGCTCCAAAATATGATAAGGAACAAAAGCACTCAGGATGGAACGGAGACACTGTCCTCCACAATAATTGTTTGTTTGTTGTTTAACGCCGCACTCAGCAATATCCCAGCTGTATGATGGCGGTCTGTAAATAATTAAGTTTGGACCAGACAATTTAGTGATTGATATTATGAGCAACGATCCACGTCGTCGAGGTTCGATGGCTTGCTATCAACTTAGTCAGCGAGCCTGTCCCCCCGAACTATTTAGTCAACTCTCACGACAATCATAGGTTGCTGGGGATCTTTATTCGTACCCGGAATCCCAACGGTGATCACAAAATAACGGTACTTGTTAATTGTTATACTGTTGTGAATCATAATTGACATATCTAATAGTGTTTGAACGACTTGAATAACGTTTGCTGGGTCTGCCAATTTGAAAAGCCTAGTTACTCTTTATGTAATCGAACGCTTCCGCGGTTTTGAGATAGAGCGTCAGCCCGGAGAGCGGAAGGTCGGGGTTCGATCCTCCACCGCGTCATACCAAAAGACGTGAAAAGATGGTACTTGTTGTTATTTTGTCTGGCGCTCGGCATTAAAGGTCTAAAACAAGGACTGGTCTGCTCGGAGTCAGTATGAGAGGGGCAAGCACTATAAAATCGGCATTAATCCGGACAAGAACAAGCAGCCCACCCACCCACCCCACCTCCATCACCACCACACACACGTTGATGCACGTCGTTTAAGTGCAATACTCTTGATCGTTAAACCCCATTTCACCTCCCCACTGTCTTTATGTAAACAAAAACAAACAAACGAGGTTGCCTTTTGACGGAACATGCTCATTGCTAAACAAAAACAACCTCTTAAATTAACAGAAAGTGGACACGGGGTTGGGCTCAGCAAACGACATAAAGTATGACAA